GCTGTTAAAGAGTAAAGATTCTTGAGGGAACATGGGTTTCTGTATTAGAGGTTCTAGCATTTTCTGAGGCAAGTGTGCTATGGAAAAAATGATGATTGTTCTTGAAGTAAGAATATTTCCAGGGTTTTTCTTCTGACTGCAACATTAACTATATGTGTGATTTTGTAAGACAGTCCTCTAAAATTTAGATTATTGGAGGCTTCTGAGGATAAAGTTGAAGTATAAGGGAGGAAACTGAGGAGTAAGACTAAAAACAATGCTTAAACGGATGAGTGAGTGAGTTTATTTATTTGGTAAATACTTATTGAATATTTCCCTATATTAGGCAGCGCTGCAGATTATAAAAGATTGAGACTTGTTCGTTACTCTGGAGTTTATAGAGAAAACAAATCCCTAATCAATATATTATAAAATACTATACTAAATTATTTAATTGAGATATATAAAATGTGATGGAAATATAGAAAAATTAATGATTGATTTTGTCTGACAGTGTTGGCAAAAGTTTTAGAAAGGAGGTAACCTTTGGGTATGCTTTCAAACTTGATAAATATTGATCTAATAGAGTGTTTCTCAAAAGAAGATAATACAACACATTGATGGAACACAAGCTATTTTTAGATGATATAATAAAGAAATGTTTATAATAATGATGCAGGGAAATAGGAGAAAAAGGGAAAAAATTCTCTTATTTTACAGATAAGGAAACAACACTCAGAAAGGGTAGATGACTTACTGAAAGCCACACAGCAGTGAGTGCTCTACACACTCACAGAGTGTGGACTCTACAGTACAGATTTCAACCCACATTACTTCATGACAGCTCAGTGCTCTTTCCACAACATCTATTTAAAGGCAATATAGATGAGTGGAGGTTTTATAGATGAGTGGAGGTTTTATACTTCTTATAACAGACTTCACAATACTGGAAATCTAGAACTTGATGGGACAGTCATTGGTTGCTTCATTCAGACACTCAAGCATAAAGAGTCATTACCAATAATAAAAATAGAAAAAGCAAACAGGAACAAAGATGAATAAGAAAGCTAGAATTTTCTGACAGGGAGCATAGTGCCTAAGGCACTTGACTGCTAACCAGAAAGCGAGTGGTTCAAACCCATTAGCATCTCTTCGGAAGGAAGGTTGGGCAATCCTACTTCTGTAGTGATACCACCTCGGAAACACAAGGAGGGGTCGCTATGAGTCAGGGCTGACTCGACGGCACATAACAACAACAAACAATAATAGTTTTATAGAATAAATATCAGAAAGTTTACTATTGTATTATTGATGAAAAAATCAGAATTACCTCCAAGGACCATGCCAGCCTGACAGCATTTTCTAAGGCGACATGCTGGGCAGTTTTTCCTACGGATTTTATCAACAATGCAGTCATTTCTTCCAGCACATAAATAGTTATGTTGCCCTAAAAAAGAAAAAAGTAAAACTTATTTTCAATATCTAAAGATCACTATAAATTTTCTGTAATGACAACCAAAAAAAAGAGGACAGAAATAATTAAAACAATCAATGTTTTTTTGTCCATATCATCTACCATTACAATTCCATGAGCTATATGTGCGGGATTGGCACGGACACTCTCATTTTGGCTCATAATGTGCCCACAGGTCATTGACGTAAGGATTTCCTGGCAGCATCACCCAGCAAGCGCCACTTGCTCAGTATGACTGTTGGCGGTGCTTCAGATCTGCTCCAGACTTTGCAAGTGCCTTCAGGAGCCTAAGTGAGAGCACAAGTTACCAGTAAGACTTTTTTTTCCCTAATATTAAAGGCTTCAAGAGAACAGATATGGACTAAAGAGTTAAAGAGTACTGTGAAAATGACTTAATTCTATTGGAAAAGCCTAGAGCTATCTCACACTCTAAGAGTCTGATAATTGAGAATGGTATGTAAAAAAAATGTTACTAACTGAACTGACTTTATTGTTTGGTGTATTTTGGGCACAAATTAGAAAACACAGAGAATATAAATAATGAAGAAGAGAGAACAATTTAAAACAGTGAGAAGTATTCATTGAAGGAGAGAACAGAATTATAGAAATACCGATAGAGCACATCTCTCTGTGGTTATTCTGTGTAGAGGAAATGTCTTATACCCTTCAAAAGGTCTGGCATATGCTATTACTATATTATTACATATATTACATATACTATTATAACATTATATATTATATGTTATTATTATTATTATATGATATTATTCAACAAGGATGATTTCTAAACCACATATATGTTCCATTTAATAAGACATGGGATAATCTAACTTATTTAGATTGAACAGAAATTGTAAACTTTAAAAAAATTTCAACATAAATGTGTAGATATTAATAAACTAGAAATTTTTCTTTGGTTATCCTTGTTTCCCAACATTAATTAATGTGTTTTTCCAGTTTCTTTAAAATAGACTGTGAGTCTTTCAACATCATCAGTTTACTTATAATTTTTAAGCAATATAAATAACTTTAAAAGATTATGGAAACTTCCCTGTAGTGTTTTACATTCCA